CTGGCACCAATCACAATTGGTTACATTCTTTCACTTTATTTTAAGGTGCCACTTCAGCACTGATAGAACTACACAGTTTAGGGATGTTAAAATTTATTTAGGCTTTTAAGTTAGCTCCCCATGAGCACTGGCTCCTGTCTGCCCCACTCTGCTACCTCTATCAGGATGCGAGGGAAGGAAGGTAGCTCTAAGGGAGCCAGTACATTTGGGGAGCTGTCTTGAAAAAGCACTTTTTAATGTCACTAGTTGTCATGCACCTTAGTCCTATGCTATAGGGCCTACAGCATAACAATGTTTGAGCCCTCATTCACATGCTGCATATGCTGGACTCCAGAACTGCTGCAGAAGGTGCCACCATTACAGAGGTGAGAGATCATCATAGATATTGCTCTGTGAAGAAATACAAATAATCATTAATATAGAGGTGAAGGTGGGAATGTAAACATGCAATGGCTAGGAAAATCTCCACTCAAATTTTTGCACCAGAAGTAGCCATGGCCTGCCCAAGATTGGTAGGGACTCTGCAAAATATCACATGTAGGGCTTCATCTGGCTCTCTCAATACCTAGGTTAAGCAAGCAAACAACCAACTCTGCCCTGAAGTACTCTGTAGATACGAACTGATGTAATGCACCAAGCAGTCCAAAAGTGAACGTTAGTGCAGGGATCCTGCACAGAGAAGGTGAGTTGCCAAAGGAGAGCAACTTGATGTGAATTAAATAATGTGAGGTTATTCTGGACATAAAGACAAGGTAGCAGGTAGGGGCATGTATAGGTAGAGTGAAGAGAGTGGTGTAAGAAGGAACTAGGTCAGACTGGACATAAAGACAAGGTAACAGGTAGGGGCATGTATAGGTAGAGTGAAGGGAGTGGTGTAAGAAGGAGGAGAAACTTCAGCTGTATGCTGAAGAGGATGAACATTTATACACAGATGCAATAGCTGAATTTTAACCATTAAGCCTACCTCCTGTGTAGCTGTAAGTGATGGTTTTCATAATAGAGGGTGCTCAGGTGATGAGTCAGACTAGTCACTCTGATTCCTCTGCTTGATGATGTTCAAAGAGTGGATTTGAAATTGCTATATTACATAGTGTGCTGATAAAAATGTGGCTTGGTGTTTCATCATCTTTGTTTCTTGTTTTCAAACATTAAGGCTGGGATTTTCACACACTTACCTGGGGGCAATTGTAAATGAATGTGAGCTTAAGTTGTACACAAAAGTATATTAAATTCATTTGCAAGAGAGCAGTAATTAGTTACTACCATGATTAGCAGCAAATATGGTAGATTTCCAAGCATTAGATTGGTGCTAATCATTTTTCCATCATTTGCATTTTTTATTACTAAAAAGGACATTTACTAAATTTTAGCAGCTGTAATCAGTACCCTTAAAATCTGTAATGGTTAGCAGGAGGAGAAACCTCACTTTTGACACATTTCTTCAAATAAATGTCCCTGAGGTCCTATTGAAATGGAAGGGGAAGGTTGCACCTGCAAGGTAATGGCTAAGGGTGGGGGTGTTTTCTAAACTCAGGGCGCAGGAAGGGCCCTGCCTTGCAGGACCATCACTTGAGTTTTAAGGGGCACTCGTGTGCTAAACACAATAGTCCTGCAGAGGTGTCCCGTTGCCTGGGGCAGAGCGCAGTGAAACAACACCGGGCCCTTTGCCCCTTGGCACACTACAGCCCGAACTCAGCTGGAGCCTGAAGAAGCAGCGGGGCGCGGAGCCGCCAGGGCCCGGATTCTGCGGCGCTTTACTACTGGGAGGGCAGAGCGGTAGGGTTGCCAACTCTCCCGGACCGCGTAGACCGGACGCCATTTGCTGCAAGCCCGTCAGGTCCGGGAGAGTTGGTAACCCTTGCGGAGCTGCTTTCCCGTCCACCCCAACGCGCGGGGCGTCCGCGTGGCAGCCTGCGGCGGCCGAGCGGCTCCATTGCCCCATAGGCAGCGGGAGTGACTGACGCTGGCGCCAGCCTTTGCCACCGCCAGGGGGCTCCCCTGCCGCGCTCTGTGACGTGCCCGGGAAGTCACTGTGCCCCCGCCCGCGTCCCGCAGAGGCCGATGGAGGCTGCTGCGCTACATGGGGGAGCTGGCGCTGGCTCTGGCTCGCTAGTGAGGTTTGTATTGTAACGCTGTTAAACCCCCGGGAAATCCCCCTGCCTGCCCCGCGCCCGCTCTCCTTGCTCCACACCACTAGCTCACTCGTCATCTGCCCACTCTCCTGTACTGTAGCCCTTATTGGGGTCTGCTTGGGCTTGTGCTACCCCCCATTAATCATCAGAGAAACAAAAATAATTGCAGTTAATTACAGTTTTAATTGCAGTGTTAAACAGTACTAGATTACCGTTTTACAACTTATACATATTTTTGGATGTTTCTCTACTTTTTCAGCTATATTGATTTGAATTACAATGGAAAATTCAAAACATGTCCTGCTCATTTTTTTCTCTACTTTTTCAGCTATATTGATTTGAAGTACAATGGATAATTCAAAGTATGTCCTGCTCATTTTTTATTATTTTTAATTACAAATATTTGCACTGTAAAAAAGATAAACAAGAGATAACGGAATCTACAAGTTGAAGCATGAAGTGACATATAAATGTTTTTCATATCTGGCATGTAAATACCATGCAGCACCAACAATAACAATGCCTTGTGAATGCCTGTTTTCACTGTCAGGTGTCATGGTAAATAAGAATTTGGCAGCATTATCTCCCATAAATGTAAACAAACTTGTTTGTCTAAAATGATTGACTGAACAAGAAGTAGGACTGAATGGACCTGTAGTCCATAAAGATTTACAATTGTTTTGTTTTTAAGTGCAGCTGGGTAGGGAAAAAAATCCAGATTTATAAATTGCACTTTGAACAGTAAACACTACAATACTTTTATGAGATGAACTGGAAAATACTATTTTTGTTTATATTATTTACAGTGAAAATATTACAATAATATAATAAAAAGTAAAGTGAGCACCATATAATTTGTCTTCTCTTCTGTAATTGAAATATAGAAAAACATCCAAAAGCATTTACAATAAGTTTAAATTGGTAGCTTGTTATTATTTAACCGTGCATTAAGACTGCAATTGATTAAATTTTTTTAAATTGAGTTAATTTCTTTTGAGTTTACAGCAATTAATTAATAGCTCTGGTTTAAACAGATACACTGTGGCAAAATGTTAACTAAAGGAAAACAAAATGACTGTCTACAAGTATAGATAGAATGCAAACTTTAAGGCTGGAGAGGAACTGCTTAGGGTGGGAAAAAGAAAACCAGAAAGACTGGATTAAATAAAAGGAATATTTAGAATTACAGGAGAAAGAAACTTCTTGCCATTGAGATCCACTGAACTGGAATAATTTTCCAAGGAAAGAAGTAGATGCCCCACCTTCTGAGACGATTTAAAAGTACGCTGGGCAAAACACTAGAGATGTCCAATAGAAAAGACTCAAGGACTGTAAAAGAAATGGACTACTTCTAATAGGTATAAGACTATTATGTTATCAAACCATCTAGCCATCCACTATCTGCTTTTTAGTATTTTTATTTTGTCTCTTCGCATTTTTCTCACTTCATTCCACTCTTCTACTAGTCTTTAGCTCTGTTAGTGTTATTACTAAAATTAACTTACTTTCATTTTTTTCAGCATAAAATAGACAAAATGAGTCAAATTAGGGATGACGAATCACCAAATGGCAGTGAAGAGAAGAAACAGATATTCTTTCACAGTTGCAAAGTGAGTACTTTGGGGTAAAAATGATTGATAGCTATATTATTTGCCTTGTTTATTAGCCTTACCTTTTTTGTTTATAGACATTTCTACAGTAACAAATTGCTGTCTTTTAAAAAACCCTCTAATGTATAATCGCATTTTCAGAAGATTAAGATAGTTCATTCTTTGACAGAGTGTGATGTCTGATTGGTGAATAAAAAGAGTGTAATCAAAGTACATTCATACTTAAATTAGTTCTGTAGCAGAAAAGATTTGGGCTACTAGTTGCTTCCCCTCCTTCTCCCCCGCCTTGTTGCTTCTCTATCAGAGGCAGCAGGGGGAGGCAGGAATTGGTGCTGGGGGGAGCCGGCTTAAAAGCCGGTTCCCCCCAGCATCATCTCCATGGTGCTGCCTCCTTCCACACCTGCTGCTGCTTCTGATAGAGGCAGCAGCATGGGGGTGGGAGGCTGCCTCAAAGTAGCTTCTGCCCATGGCAGGCCAAGGTTCACTGCAAGCAGAGGTGGGTCTGGAAGCAGCCCCTATCCATGGGGGGCTGGGCTGGCCATGGGCAGAGGGTG